GAGGGTGAAACAGGAAGCAGCTGTAGAATATGATGTGAGAGGGAAAAGGCCACACAAGATGAACTCTTAACCAATCACTGGAAGAGGCACTAAAGGACGGGAAAAGAGCAGATGAGGAAGACTGAAAAGAGGCGATAGGAGAGGAAGTAAATGGGGTGGACGGACGGATGCAGTGTTGTGGCGGGGGGGGGGGGGGGATCACTCTCAGAGTCCACCTGTCTGCAGAGATAAACACAGGGAGGGCCCAACAGCACGGACTGGGGCTTATGGGAGGGCCTGACTGACAGTGCTGACATTTGGAAAGAGCACGGTAAACAAGATCTCACACTGAATAAATAGCAGTGGGAACAGGGGGGCTAATACACACACACACACGTACTGTACACATTAATGCATCACATCGATGTATGAATGCATGCCTACGAGCATGTAAACACACACTACTAAAGCACATGCACGCACTCACACAGAGACACCTTGAGATACCTTCAGAAGGGTCCAATCAGATAGTGTTAGGCAGCAGATAAAGAGGATGGCAATAAGGGCTTGCTTTTAATAGAACCGGCCCACACACACACACACACACACACACACACACACACACACACACACACACACACACACACACACACACACACACACACACACACACACACACACACACACACACACACACACACAGGGAAATTAAACACGCCTACTGATGAATCCAGGACAGAGTGGATCGTCAGCGTTGTTCCTTGGCCTTTTGTCTCTGATTAAATGGAGAAGCATCAAGAGTGAGGTGCTTTGAGCTGTCTACTTCCAGGCTGAATGCACCTCCGGAACATTCTGTTCTCACCCATTAGTGACAAAGGCACAGTGATGAGAGGTTACAAGCACATTGCTCAGAAATGTCAGAAAAATCATTGACAGAATGTTTTTTTATATGTTTTGCTCTTTTATAATAATTAGACAGTAATGCATATAAGTGGCTCAAAGTATGACGCCTCAAAGGTTTCAATACAAAAAGAAAATATGAAATGAGATATCCTCGATTTTAGAAAGGTCTTTCTTTTTCTCACACTCCCTGTGCTGCAGCTCCTCTTTTCACCCTCTGTCTGAAACCAGAGCCCAGTCTGCTCTGATTGGTTAGCTGGCCTGCTCTGTTGTGATTAGTCAACTGCTTAGAGATGTACCAACTCTAAGCCTATCACGTACAATGTGTTGAAGCACTATCCAATAGAAGCATAAGTGTGAGTGATGTCACTATGTTAAAGAAATAATCAAATAATTTAAGCCTTTGCATTTGCATGCATGAAAAACTATATAACACTACAGGTATGGGAAAACCCCCAAAAGCAAAATAGGGTCCCTTTAATGGCAAGTGGCATTGGTTTCACTTAATATTCTAAATACTTCTAAGATGTTCTCCGATTATTTTGTCACTGCAAAAAAACAACATTAATCTCATGTTGTTGCTAAACATTTCTGAACATAAGTTAATTAAGAATGAATGTAAGACAAAATAAATAGAACTAGGTTCTACAAAAACACACCAAACTTGATACTATAATTATATGAGGCTAATTACATACTTGGAAATGGATTAAAAGAAAGTGCTTAAATGCATGTTGAAAATTAGCTTTAGGCAAACAAATCTAAAGAAAAATGCACACTCTCCCAAGCATACAGGAACAAAAATGTTCCCATAAAAGCCTTGCAGTATGAAAGAATAATTATCTCAATTCCCAATGGACCAAATGCATTGGTACACAGTGTTCATGTGAAACAGAATGTGTGAGGTTACAAGTATTATCACTTCTATCTGACAAAACACTAGCAGTAACATAACATGTCCTTTTAAATTTAGCAGGAGCTCATAATGCTTCAGGAGATCCTTCCACACGCTGCTCCGTGTGTGAGAACGGGCTGTGCTAATCAGAGCAACTAGGTCACCCAAATATTCAAGGAGAAGATGTTTCCTTCAGGGCAGTATTCAGCGGGGTGAAACATTCACTGTGTTGGTTTTTAAGATACCATCAGACTCCACTATGCTGATTACTACAGCGTGGACTGCTGCATATGCTAAACAACTTGTGTTCTTTTTTATTTTTAAATGCCGCTTACAGTTTTTTCTGAAACAAGACAGTGGGTCACCTTGGAAGAACATTGTAAGAAAGACATTTGACTCAAGTCCTTGGAGGATACAAGCCCTAAAGCTCTCACCCTCACACCAAGGAAATCTTCTCTTGTACCTGAAACCTATTTCAATGAGAACATTTTTTTTGCTGGAACATTTATGGCATGTGTCAAAGATACTCATCAATGTCTGTAAAAGAAACGTGGCTATAGAGCAGTGGACCTTGAGACATTTTAACCCATGGCATCTATCTAACCTCAAGCCAGCGAGCGATACACCGTTAAACACAGGAAGACGTCCCCAGGAGTAGAGCCAAAATGGCAGCTAAGCTAACACATTTAGCACCCAAAGGCTACTCGACTATACCCAGCCTGCTTCTGGCCGATGTTGCAGGAAAATAACAAAAATGAAATTAGACTCAGGCTAACCTAGCAACGAGACCATGCTCCTTAGAGGCCTCCAGCATCATGCTACTGACGGGAGAACTGCAGGACAGAAAGCAGGACTCCAGAAGGACAGGCTCTATGTCTACGTTAATGATGCTTGGTGCTCAAAGTTGATAGACAATATTTCCCTGATGTCCGATTTGATATATTATGGATGTAGGCTATCTCCCAAGAGGATACACCATTGTTTTGTTGCTGCTTTTACATACCTTCCGATGCAAATACAAAAAATGAATTACAGGAATGCACTACTTGTTGTGACCTGTTTTTCTTGTGTATTATAAAAGACTACGTTATAACTGCCTCTTGTTGTGCTACCCTGTGTTGCATGATGTCATAATCCTTGAATCTTTGAATACTTAAATGAAACTCGAGGCCAACAGTCTTGTTTCAGTTTTCACAACTTGTGATGAAATACACATATTTTACATCTGGTTAATTTGCATTCAGAGGTGTCATCAGCAAAATGGCTCCAAGTGAAGAAACAATCTGTTACTTACTACAGCGGTTTGGTCCTTTTTTTAAACAGTCTTTGAAACGTCTTGCATCAGCAGAGCTCGCTATCTCCCAAAGCAAAACAAATGCAAATACTGTGCAAATATGTTTGAACCCATGTGTGGGTCAAGCACACACACAGAGACATACACACCAATGCACACAAACACACAGAAATAAGTGTGTGTGCGTACACAAAGACAGACCACAGGGAACGGACAATTTGCGGATGCGTGGTGACATTCTCTTTCTCTGTGAGGCGTACGAGGAAATCAATAGTTATTGAAGATGCATTTTCTGGCTGCAAGAGAAGAACGCTCGGACAATAGGCTTCATCCTGCAAGAGGCGCAGCCGAGGCTCCAGGCAGAACGTGGTAAATGTCAGGTGAGGGGCCCGTGGGGGGAGGGATTCAGTATCTACATCATGTACAGCTGAGCACCTGCAGCATGCAAGGTGCAGAGATTTCTCCCTTCTGATATTATTGCAAGGTAAGAGCAAAGTGAAAATACATTTTGTAAATGTCACAAGATGGAAGCCAAGATAAAAATGGACCGTTACACATGCTGTAATTCCTTCAACCTTCAGCCACTCAATCATGGAAGGCTGCTGTTTCTTAGTAACACTCCTCTAAATAAAGACAAGCAATGTTTTCTTACCTACCTGGAATTGTATCTAGCCATGCAGATCGTTTTGTTTTTATTTGCTCAAGCTTCAAGATAACAGCTTTGAGATATTCCCTCATACAATGGTGGTGAAATGTCATTTGTGGTGCTCGTTACATTGAATACAAAAATACAAATTTAATTCAACAGCCATATGACGTCAAAAACAATTAGGATATGTGTCAAATGTTACTGTTAGCAGTTTCCATTGGAATTACTTGTTACCATTTTTATAATGACTATTCCTCTATAATAGTTATGAACCTTGTGAAAAAGTGCTAAGTCGGGCATTGTTTCTGGAAACATTAGCTTATACATCTTTATAAAAAAGGATTTTCAGTCAACAACAAACCATATGGCATTCACCTCCATTGTGTGGGTTGAAGGCGAAGTCCTTGAGGTGGATACCTCAAAGCCTGGGCAAGAATAGCATCAACCACGAACCCTTACAATATTTATTTGAAGCCAGCATCGACCTCTCCATCCAGAAACTGCAGTATAGATGTATTATGTATAGGTGCAGCACCACACTACATGTATACATAATGTATGTATTTGAATGTTTAAAGAGATACGGAGCTCTGTGTCGATCCATGACCTACCCTGTCTCTGCTGGTTCACAGCTATCGGTGATAATACTGACGTTATCTTCTCATCTCCTCTGGTTGGTCCCTCTGGAAAGCTCAGAAAGTCGACCTCAGTGTCTCTAATTTCAGACACTTAATGAGATTTTTAATTGGTGACCTTTTGAGAATGGTTTCACACCAAAGCTCATGAGAGCCCTCGAGGGGAAGCCAACACGTACCACTCACGCCAGGATCCTGCTTAACAATCTCTGAAGGGTCCAATATTTACTTTTGCCTATGGTTTGACCAACACACTTGTAGATACAATTACATATGTTATATCATTGGAAGGAGCTCCACAAGAATGTATAGTCCAAGAAGTTTCTGCCATGTGTACAGTATACCACCACAGAAGGTTTCTGTGAAACACAATACTCTGCAACATGACCACAGCTTAAACTCTCTCTGCTGCTCTTCATCAAACTTGTATCTTTGCTTTGTATGACAAGTGACAAAGAACAACATCTCTCAATAAACAAAGCCCAAAAGAGTTGAACTAGAAAGCCACACTGCCTGTTGGAGAGTCGGTGTGGAAGACCGAAATATTTTGTACGTAGGAGGCACTTAGTGTCTCTTTTTGTAACAACAAACAAAAGCAGAGACTCAAAGCACAGTGGACTCAAAACACTAAAGAAATGTAGGCCTTACCGTGGTGAGATATCGCAGCCCTGCTGCATGAAGGCCCCCAGTGAGAACCAAAGGGAGTTGAAAATGCCAAACTCATTGGTCTGCTCTAGACTCTGCTGGTTGTTCTGTTGCGGGGGGGCCTGGCCCTGCTGCACCCCGTTGGCTGAAGCTTGGGTGGGCGACTGCGGCTCAGCGCCCTCCTCGTAGTCCTCAGCGTGCCACTCGTACGGGCTGAACCGACTGACAAGGAACAGAACCACGCTCACGCCGATGTAGGCAAACACAATGCACATCCAGATCTCGTAAGCTAGCGGGTCCAGGAAGGAAAACACGCCAGGTTTGGATTTGGTGGGTTTCTTGATCATGATGGAGATGCCAAGGGACATGAAGGGCTTAGAGAAGTCGATCACTTCTTCACGCACCAGGGTGATGGTCAGAGGGGCCACAGCCACGTCTGCTTTCTGAGGGAGACAAAAAGAGACAGGCATGTGACCAGACGTACACAGTGGCAAGAATATGTCTTTTCATGTTCTAACATATGTGTTTGTTAATGGGAAAAGCACAATAGTTTCTTTATCAGAAGACCCACGTCAAATACTGTAGTGAATCCACGATGATAAATGTTTAAGCATCTCTACAAGCTATGCTCTAAAAATGTCACCAATGTCATTTAACCAGGGGGTATCATCTATATTGTGTGTTTGTGCTAATTACTGTTTTGCCAATGTCAAAGACACAATGTAATTTTTAAATATTGTTTTCCTCTTTCCTTTGTCAAGTCTACTAACCAAATTCAAACCTGATCTTCAGTATCAGATATCTGTTATTTTTAACTCTTAACTTTTTTAGTTGTTGTTTTATATTTAAGGAAAAACAACACAAACATAACGTTATTTTCATAGTAAATGCTGGGGCGTAGTCAGAGTCTGGGATATGTGAAAGATCACCAACAACATATATTTAAAAGCTTTTTTTGTGTGAAAGTAAACCTTCAAATGGCACGTAATAGGGAAGATAACAATATGGCTTAATCTGGTATAAAAAAGTTCAATTTGTATAAAACATGTTATTAAACGTTTGATCTAATAGAAAGCATGAGTTTATGCTGTAATGGCTGTAGGATCAGAAATAAATAAAAAATGTAACTGTGGTTTTACTGGTTTTAAATGGAAATATTTTGGTCCTTAATTAAGGGAGTGTCTGGTGGCCTTCATAGATAATTGTTCACTTTTTATAAGAGTTACAACTTTACTAAACTCATACCCTTGCCAGGATGTACGACAAATGCATTAACACAGCCAAATTGACAGGAAAATGTGAAATGTGAGGCACAAGGTTTAAATACTGCAAAACGATCAAGGCAGACTGCTCAAATAAAGTTAGAATTGAGCTGCACGTTAATTGATTGGCTAAACAGCATTCACATTTGACTTTTAGTAGTATATTTCACCTTTAAACTGGGAATAATATCCAACACAAAACAGTCCACTCACCCCATACACCAGTTCTCCCACCATGCCGTTCCACATCTTATTCTCTGGGTCTCTTGCTCCATATTTGCCATCTGAAACCACCTTCAGTTTGTACTGGTAGCCGACATGTTTGGCTATCTCTGCAGCCAGCTCCACAATGTAGCCCTCATATTTGTCATTCCCCACAAGCTGCTCATGGTTCTTCTTCATCATCACATACGGAGACTCCTGTTGGATGAAAGGGCAACCATGCAATCATTAACTGTAACTCAATTACACCAGGTGTCAGAAATAACATACATGAAATCAATGAACGGTTACTGAAATAATTGCAATTTTCGATGATGTTAAAACAAAATGAACACTGATATGTATCATTTCTTGACATAAGCCTGTATCATAACTTTTACAGCAGGGCAGTTTGTTAAGCTAATTAAAGCAGAGACAGTTTTATGGCTGATAATAAAGCTTCAGCATGTAGTTAAGCTTTATATGAATATTTAAAAATGCGGGAAGGTTTATGGATGAATTCAATGCATCACTTATCTCTTTACCCCTTGCTCATAACGGAGGCTTTGGATAATAAATCTCTCTGTGAAAGGTTCAAAGATAATTACATGGAATCACAAGGTATTATTTGTGTCTTTGTTCATAAAGGTATGGTGTATAATTGAAATACAAAAGGTGGTAAGTATGATTACGGCGTCATTGCCTCATTGAAAGGAGGGTTGATAATATGAAGCCGGTTGTGAGGATACGGGGGAATTGTAGGGTGTTATTAAAGCTGAAAAGACAAAGCATCTGAGAACAAGAAGTGTGTGTGTGTGTGTGTGTGTGTGTGTGTGGGTGTGTGTGTGTGTGTGTGTGTGTGTGTGTGTGTGTGTGTGTGTGTGTGTGTGTGTGTGTGTGTGTGTGTGTGTGTGTGTGTGTGTGTGTGTGTGTGTGTGTGTGTGTGTGTGTGTTTGAGCAATGTGGTGAAGAAGACATTTTTGACCTCTGCTCCAGGGCCAGGCTGTTCTTCCTGTCACATCCTTCATCTGTACATCTCACACTGATTGGGTGTCTTCCCGCCGACATAACACCTGGGGCCCCGCTTTATTTTAAGAAAAATCTATTTCATATAGAATACCAGTCAACTCAATCTACTTGCACTCTGATAGGCCTCAATTCCAACAAGTTGTTATGTGTGCCTGCTCTTAGCTAAGGCTGTGCTGAGCCGAGCAAATCCTGCCGTAAGATTTTATCAGGGTCTAGAGATGTGGGGGTGGGTCGGGGTTCCTCTGTGTTTTACAGTTATCTGGGTTCTCCTGCTCTTTATGGTTGAGGGGAAGGTAATCATTGTTACACATGGAAACCTGAGGCCCATTGGCAGGGAAATGGCACCCCAGGGAGACGGTGGTGGGAAAGGCTGGTGTGCAGCGCTTTTGACAGGGTATGCACTTGCACTGGCAGCCACAGACTAAGTCAGATACACATACGTATGCACTCTCTCAATTACCCGCACTTCAACACACACACATAGATGCGTGACATGGCATAGAAGGTCCTCCAGGACTCATTCTCATTGGTCCGCACAGTACCGCTGAGATCTGCTGTTACTCAACCATGGTGGATATAAAACAGACACACATTACAAATCTAAATAGACACAAAATTATATAAAATCAGACCACTGCCAAAGCATTCACCTACACCTCGGATGGTCCAATTTCCCGAGTTGGAAAGTTGTTATTTCGATTTGATGAGCTTTGACGTTACAAATTCATTAAGTATTATTTTATTGGTTAGAGAGGCTTACCAAATGTTGGATGTCTGTTTAAAGTTGTTTTTCTGACATGTCCATGTGAATATTCATATTCAGGATAGCCTTTTCCAATTATTTCGTCACTACATAAACGCAGCACAAATCCTGTTTCGAAATAATAACGAATGTGAAACATGATGCACATATCTGTCCCGTTGTTTGGATACACATCAACATGTAATGGGTCCTTCACTGGCCCATGCAACACCATGCCGCCAAGATTCATGAATATCGTGCTTGTAGTTTTTCCGTGATCATGCTGATAGCCAAACAGACCAACAAATTATTTTTGTTTGCCGTTGGAAACATTTAAAATGTAAACCTATATCATTCCTCTGAGACCCATTTTAAACAACATACAGTACGAGAACGCGAACATTACGTAATTTGCTTATAAATGCTACTACTCCTTGCTGAAAGCATTTTACAATACCTGCACGTATTTGTAGTATCTGCACATGGCGAGTATGCATATAATAACCAACTACTTGCATGCTAACACTAAATCTTGAAATTCCAGCCATGGCCTGGTTTTAGTGTAAAGCCATGATGGTGGAGACACTAAGCTCCAGTGCTCCATTAAACATGCTCTGCTTCACTCCTCCAGATCTCCTGGTAACACCGGCCTGGACTGTGTGCACAGGCTGGGACAGCAAGGATTCTGGGAAAGCACAAAGTGAGACCTTCGAATTGGCAAAACAACACGGTCCCTGAAGCAACGCATCAGCGAGTACAAAAGTTATACGGTGTAAAAACTCTTCTGCTGCCAAATAACTGTTCACACCTTATCTCTTCTCTTAGCTTCCAAGACTGGGAACCAATGTATCTTCCTTGAGAAGGGGACACTGATAGGAGATTATGTCAGAGTTATTTTAGGTCCGTTCTTTATGAAGACCGCAATCTTCGGGTGTAAATGAGGATGTTCACATTTGTTTTAATTAGATGCCAAAAGACTACATGTCAAGTTTAGCAAAGTACACCCAATGCTATACATCTGCACTTTACATATTTATTCCTGGAGTACTCCTTCATCAACACTAGCTGTTGTTCCCCAGGTGTTAGTCTGTATTTCAAATCATGTTAAACTGGTCTTTATTAAATCCGTTTAATTTAATTATTTATTATTATTTGTTTTAACCTCTCTCCTGGTTAGCAAACCATTTTCTATGCAATAGCTAGTACATATGTGTGGATTATTTATGATCATTTATGAATAACTTAACCTTTCTAAAAGATGGCCTTTTGAAGTACTATTTGCATAAGAACTTATTCATCCTGGCAAAATGGTTTGTCCTGCGAGTATTATTATACAAATGATGTATGTACATTTCCTAAACACATTTTTAGACTTTTATAATTTAGTTAAATCAGGTATTATCGAACGAGTGGAAACTATGTAGCTCATCTTTAATTAGCCCAAATTCAAAAATAATAATGCTTAATTACTACTGCAGCCATTTTAGCTCCAATTCGTTCACACTTGTGCATTGTTTTTCCCCTACGTCTGAAATAAAATGAGGGTTATATATTTTGTTCCACTTGGGTGCTTGTATTAACAGTGTGTTTGGTATGACATGAACACAGCATTGCCAGATGATTCTCTTTGTCACAATATATTGTCGATATGCGCATCTCTCCTTATTAATACTCTACATGCCGTTTCAGCTCCATCACCTCCCACAGACCTTTATCCGGAGAGCTGTGAATTTGTTCTTAAGGGAAGCACATAGTTGAAATGGTTTAGCCAGTGGAGATCAGCCGCACACACATCGCCTGCTAGACCTGGAGCCTGTTGCAGAATTCCAATTCTTTTTACATATTTCATTCATGCATTGCACATCTGCCTCAAGTCCCACAAATAACATGATCCGAAGAGATAAAAGACATTTCCACTTGAAAAAATACCGGGAGCACAAAAAAAGCGTAGCGCTGAGCTCCAGACTTCACATACAGCAATATGCTCTGAGAACATCCTGTACCTGCATACAATCTGTATTATCCCCTATTGCATACGAGGAAGGTATTGCCAGGTATGTTCCTATCTTTTGAGAAAATGTCATGTTCACCTAGCTGCTATAGGAGCTGGTCTGATTGAATCTGTGCTGCCCTATTCTCAAATCTTACCTTATTAACGGCCCCTACACACGGCAGCGTGCGTTGACGCTTGCCGGCGGGCATGTCTGAAGCTAGACCAACAACCAATCACCTGAATCTCCCGCCCCGGACACACAAGCAGCGGTTTGATTGGCTAGAGCTTGTACTGGCATATGATACGCTACGCTTTGCTCCCACAATGCAGTTTGGCGAAGCGTGACGTCACCCCATTCAAAGTGAATGGGCATAAGCGTTGAAGCATCAACGCACGCCGCCGTGTGTAGGAGCCATCACAGACCCCTGAGGCTCTATGTCTGCAATGTAGGTGAGGACAGTAAACACAACCTGCCAATGGGGAAAGCTGAGCCAAATACAATTAAAAATAACATAATAACATGGGGGGCTAAACAATGATGGGTATGTTGACACTTCATAGCCTCAGAAATAAGTGTTCCTAGTTGATAATTAGTATTGTTTAACTACTATCACAATGTTGAGTGGACACTGAACACATTTAAAGGGGGCTCTATCATGCTCATTTTCAGATGTGATAATCAGATGTTGTTCCTCTAAAAAGTGGTTTAAAGGCCAAAGATTCATGAGGGAAGTCTTAAAACAGGTTTAAATATCCTAAATCTGGGGAAATGAAAAGAAAAGTAGTTTAAAGGTCAAAGATGGGTTCGGGTAACAGTACAACAGGGGGAAATGTGTTGTCTGGGGATGCAACATGGATGAATGGAATATAGGTTAGAAAACTGTCAAAATAACTATAATTTCACAGGAGGACTAGGGGTAGAGGAATGTGAGAATTCAGTTAGGGATATTGTCAGATATCTGGAACAAACCAGAAATCATGTTTTCTTATCATTTATTTGTAATGTTTCTAGTGTGCTTTATGCTCTTAATGTCTTTCATTCTTGTTAAGCACTTTGAATTGCCTTGTGTTGAAAAGTGCTAAATAAATAAACTTGCCTTGCCTCTAAATGCACAAAAACCCAAATAAGCATGATATGGCACATTTGAACATATCTTAAATATGTACAGGCAAACACTGCAAGTCTGTAAGCCAGTGTCCTCAAGATAAGATTATTGTGTTACTTGGAAATTGATGTAATTGTGATTCTGTGCAGAAACAAGTCAGACAGAAAGAAGTTAGGAGATAATAGTTGGCAAGGGAAGGAAGGGAGGAATATACAATCAGAGATGTCAGCCCAATTCTCTCAGGGGCATGAACCTTAAGGAACTCTATCATTAAAGAAAATGAAAAATGTTACCATGCCTTTCTCCGTTTGGGACTGAGCCATTTTACCAGCCCCATCCTCCCCATAATCCCTCAAGGTCTCTATTTTGCTTACCAGGATCGTGGTGACTATGTAAGTCCTGTTCTGCAGGCCGTACGTTTCGTTGCTGCCTCTCACAAAGCTGGCGGTAGTCACATACTTCTCATCTTCATTCCAGTAGCCAACCTGAGACAAAGGATGATGTCAAAATGTCAGAAATGGACCAATAGGATAAAAATAAAAGTTATTCAATATGGCTCCTAATCAAAAACGTACGTATAAAAGCTTTTAGTATAATTTCTTAAGAGATTTGACACACTTAGAACAAACCTTCTAAGACATGAAAGTGTATCTAAATATATTTTAAGGGAAGTAGCATAAATTCATGTCTCTGTTTTCAGCTTCAAGCATAAATAGGATTAATGATATGATCATTATCACCGCCAGACTTAAGCCTAGGGGGGATCATCTGTTCTGTTATGTGTGTTATCTGTCTGTTTTTATACAGTCATTTACTGCTGACTCCTCACTGCTTTTAACCAGCCGGTACGGACTGTAAGTGTTAACCAACTGCTACAGTAGAAAAAGGCATTCACAGCAAAAAGGCTAAAAACAACCATTTGGCCTTTGTTATGTCTAAAAAACTGACAACCACAGAAAACGTTGGTCTCATTTTGAACAGAAGCATCTGCAGATCAATTCCATACCCTCTTCAATTCCATACCCTCTTCAATTCCATACCCTCTTCAATCCCATACCCTCTTCTTGAGTAACACCAATAGAATTGAACAAAATCCCTGCTTTTTGTTATCTTTGACGCCATCTTGACTGTAAAGGAGTTGTGGAGGGACAATTGAGTGTGACTGCGTGCACTTTTTTTGTACAAAAAAGGTACAATTTCACTTCAATGTGTATAGGAGTAAGTCTCCTAATAAATGCCTAAATATCTGCCACTAAAGAACGTTTTACTCATAAATTGTCTTTCAGAAAAAGGCTATTGAATACTACTGTAAGGACCTTAAATGAACCACAGACTTATTCCACTAATACACTTGCAGGTTCTAACAGAGTCCTTGAGTAGCAATAATAATGCTTAATTGACATTTTGGCTACAGACTTACCTTCTTTGGTCCAGAGGGGGCCAGTTCCATGACGCTAACAGTGTAGTTGGTTCTGCGGCCTTTCTCATTGAACTGAATGTGACCGGTCAATCCATCTATACGCACCTGCAATACAATCACACATATTGAATACGTTATACACATAGGCTTTCCCGGCAGATGGGTGAATAATGGCTGCCGTGAAGCATGATATTCGCTCACTTCATTTTCTCCTTGTCTACGCAGGCAGCAACACTTTGCACATCACGCTTACATGCGATGCATGTTAAGCATAGCTCGCCTGTGTTTGTATAGTATTCATTGTGAAAGTCTACAGCTCCCACTCCCAGGGGAATGACAGACGGTGTGCGTGTATGTTTACAGTGCAGTGTGTTTGTCTTGGCTGTGTGATGGAGTTAATTGAGCGAACACGGCTTCAATCTCCAGTCCGTCCGCAGGCAGATGGCTAGATTGACACTGAGGAGGCCACCGCGCAGCCACTGCAGACTGAGCCTCGGGCTGCACACACGCACACAGCACACTAACACATATGCCCTCACACACATGCATTTATTATACATATAAATGGTCTTCTGGAGCACGTAAACAACATACTTCATTGTGTTTTTAATTGGCAACTTCATTCCTGCATAGGCTTTTAAAAAATGCTATTTAAAATATAATAAAATAATAATGGTCCTTGTTCCTCGATATGCATGAGTGTCTCAATGAGACAACACAAAGTCTCAAGGCCAGCCCAACATTTCTATTTCCGTCGCCAAAAATTACATTTCTAAACTCAATTGCTGGTGTCATATTCCATGATGATCACGGCTGAGTGTTATTGCCTGCAGGTTTTGTTTACTAGCCATGATGTCACATTTGATACTGCAGAGCTCTGCTATGACTTAATGTGAACTTTACACGACAGAATGAGACCTCATTTGTTCAGCCAGCCCCAACTCAGGAGCCGTTAGCCAACGTGCCACTCAGGAATTTGCACAAGTGTGTGTGAGTTTATGTCTGTGCATGTGTGTGCACGCATTATTGCATTCCTATGTATGCACACAGACCTGCTGCAAGGCTCTCTGGATGTCTATGCCCTGTCCCCAGGGAGCTGGTGGGTTGGCAAGACACTCTCCAGCGTTGCCCCGGCGAGAGATGTCTATCCTCTGTCTCCGCAGGTTCTGGAAGGCCGTGGACATGACTTTCACGCCGTCATATGTTAGAGCGCCCGTGTACTGCAAAGAGAGAGCAGGCGAATGAAACGAAAGCATTTATAAAGACTCGCTGAAGAAAATTATTTCACAAATTGAGTTTCACCAAGCTATGCTTTTACACCAAAGGACTTCATTGCTATTTTTTCCTGTCTTTTTATAATTGAAAAAAAACCACACACAGGCAGTTGGATTCAATCCTCTATCTCAGCTGGTTGGACAGTTGTTATGGTTGAAAATCAATAATCACTTAGCAGCCTTACTCAGACAGGATCAAGGGTTATCTGTCCATCCAAATGTAATAGAAATGTTTTCACAGCTTTTGCAATACACTGCTGAGTGTCACAAACAAACTAACTGACAGGGGAAATAACAAGTCATTGTCCAAGGTAACCATAACTTCACTAAGAAAACTTAATCATTCAGCTCTTAATAAAAGACCATCATGATTTATTTTTCCTTCAACCTGCCATCTTGTGCTACATTACTACTTCCTATACAAAAGCTTCTGAGACAAACAAAGGTAAATAAATCAAGGACAGATAAGAGAGCAGTAGTACTTTGAGTCCACTCTTGCGCATTTTGGAGTCTTTGTTGTCAAACTCCTGCCACTGCTGGACCACACGGCTGATGGTGGGCTCGGAGTTGTTGACCAGCTGGAAGCCTGTGATATTCGCCCCGCCTTTCCTCAGGTCAGTCAGGTCGATGTCCAGGAAACCCTGGGACAGGAAGTGCACAGGATAGAAGGTCAAATATGAACAAACAGGTGGGAAAAGAGATTAAGGTATATGTTAAGAAAATTAGCTTGTTAGTCGGCAAAAACATATTTAGAGGATCTAACTAAAGCAGTGGACATTGAACGTTACCAAATATGTCACTAAGTCAGTAGTTCCAAACCTTTTTTAGACCTAAGCTGTCAATTAAGGTCTCCCTTGAAAAAGAGATCTATGACCTCAAGGGACCAATCTGGTTAAATAAAGGTTTGAAATGAAATTATTAAATGAACAGCTTCTTGCTGCCGTGTACAAATACCTCACCATTTGTGTGTCAGAAATCTGTTTGATCTTCTTCCTATGTATTCAAAGGCACATTAAGTGTACCTTAAAACCAATGTAAAGCTCAACTAGAAGTGTGTGGTGGGTCTGGATTCACTGAAACCAATACAGCCTTATTATTATGCTGTATGCAACAATTCTGGGCATCAACCTCTCTAAAAAACATATTGATCAGGTGTCACAGCGTAAACATGTTACTAAGACAAAATGGCAGCCACAGTGCTGAAGAAACGGCAAGCGGACAAAGCTTGTCCATAAAAGGAGAATGAGTCTGGGATTGAATTGAGTCGAGGAGGAGGGGCAAGGTTTGAATATTGTGTTTGCAAACCGTTACCGACATTTCCTAATGAACCAATGGAGAACGGATGGGATCTGAGGAAAAAAAACATATTTATGCTGCTTTTCTTTTGCAGACCTCACTTTGACATTTGATGTTTTTGTGAACTGTGGTTGACTTTAACTGCACAATCATTTTCAAATTGAAAGAAAATGTGCAATCCTATGGTGATGCTTCATTTTACAAGGCAGGAAGAGGTTGAGAACCAGTGGTCTAGGTGCACTGGCATAAGAGGGTAACTCTGCAGAATGCATAAACATCGTAGTTCGTGATTTTCAGTCTACCATCAATGGTTAATGGCATAATGAAAACGGCAAATTATTCTTTTCCACTTAGAGAGGTTATCCAATCGAGTATACCTCCACCCTGTCTTTCCTGAGGGGCAGGAGACAGAAAATAGAGAACCTCATTTCATGGCTGTGTTCAGTCCGGAGCTAATCTTTGAAAGACTGAGTCTTCATATGCTGCTGATGGAAATGGCACAATCAAAAAAACCTTATATGCTATGGGAACAATGTAGGGCAGTGCCGGGGCAGAGCACACAGGAGAAAGAAGCGATTTGCTGTAATGGTATCTCCTACATGTATTTCCCCCCTGACCATTATGTGGAAGAAAGCTGTTTTTCAGAGCGGGAGAAAGGCAGGATCGGTCTCTCAGCAGGCTGCCTGTCAGCGTGGGGAGAAGACGAGGCAGGCGAGAGGGAGCTGGGCGGGGTGGGAGGAGAGAACAGAGCAGCGAGGGGGAGATTTGTCGGTGATTTTACAGCAACGTTTCTGACTGATGAAAGGAGAAGGTGTCTCTTAGGTGTTACTCCTGCTCACCAGGCTTCTGTCTGACAAAAACATAACTTACCATTGTTTCTTTTTCTACTTTGTTCTCATTTTTCATGTCACTTAAAGCTTCGCCTCTCTCTTGGCCATATTTCTCTCTCAAACTCTAGCTTGTTTACTTTCTCTGACCTTCACATCCACACAAACACACCAAGTCTAAGAGAAGTGGTCGACTGAAGCATAAAGATCATTTTGTTTCATGCCCTTTTGGTTTTGGACATGGTCTCAGGCTACAGGAGACAAACGCAAGCAATGACGATGTCCCCCCCCCCCCCATCTACTCACCAACGCTAATCTCCCTGTGTGTTGCCATACGTCGATATGTTCTCAGCTGAGCAGACAGACTAGTGTCTTTTGTCTGCTCCATGTATGAGCTAATGCAGTGTAGCGAGCTGAAGAGGTTACTATAGAAACTAGCTTTTGCCAACACTGGATATTGCGTAGGGGTATTTCTGACAAATATTTTATCAGCATTTTCCTTTCTGTATTTCTCTATCATTCTTTGCTTTTCAGAGAAACGCAGCTGCAGACACAAGGAAGTATATTAGGAAGAATTCCCGAAAAAGCGTAAGGACAAACATTTGAATGGGCCCATTAGAAAAGACTGTGGCCACTTTGCGTATCAGCTGTTATCACCGTCAGAGCCTTATCGCTCAAAATTAAATCTGGCAAACTGGCCAGACAAGAGAGATTGAGCCAATCTAAAATTCCAGCAGTGAGAAATTGTTCAAGACAGCAGCTGCATATTAATGCTGATCATTCTACAGCTCCGGGTGATGTCAATTTTCGCTTCATTTGGTTGCATTTAGTGAGCCTGAGCAGTGCTGACTGGGTCTACGCACCATTTGCCCTGAGAAAATGGCAGCAGACAAAAAGAGCTAATGGATATAAGCTTGCATACATTCACTGCCTGACCTTTGTCTGTCAGTGTGAGGAAGACGCATAGATTCCTGACTGTCACACCGTTGTGCTTTACGCTAGTCTTCTACTCTGCTGCAGTTATGTCTGCAAGGATTGACGGCCCAATGAAAAGAATATATGAAATAGCTGAAGAGGAAAATGGGATAAGAAAAACGACATAAAACCACATTGTTTTAGGCTAAATTATTGGGCACATCCAAGTATATTAAAGCGGTGATAAAGAACTTTTAAAGGCCACATTTAATAGCAAGGCAAGTTTATTCATTGAGGCATGAAAGAAGGTAGAACATTTTCAAACATTTAAAAAAGAAATGCGATATAATGATGATTTCTTACCAGGTTAGCCAGGATGTAGTGGTAGCTCTTTGCATTCTTGCCTTGTTCGACGATCTGAAAGGCAAGGTCAGAGGAGATCCAGAGAATGAAATGCCTGTCACACACACAACAAAAACACTGTTGGTACAGTATGTGTGTATAACTGAGAGAGAGGGGCTTTGACAGTGTCTCAAAAGAATTCCTGTTTGAGTGCAGTTTTTAACTTTGTCAAGGATGGACAGAAAGTATGAGTGCACAATACATCATGGAAAATACACTAAAACGCTTCACCTCGGATAGAATAAAAGGTGAGCAATTTATTAAAGATCAGCTTCAATCTATGAGATAAAAGGTTCACACAACATACTCCATATAATACAAGTGATAGAGGTAGATTAAGGGTTCTGAAGTTTGTTATATAAAACAACAATGAAACAAAAGTAACGCCCTTTCCTCTCCTCCTTCCTTTCAACTCTTCTCTTAATTCTTTCATTCCTCTTTTCCTCTCCCCTCATTTCCTTTCTCTCCCCCCATTCCCTTCTCTTTTATGGTCCCTTGTTTCCTCCTCTCTGCTCTTAATTCCCCCCTCGTTCCTCTCTTCAGTAACTATACAAATGAAGGTAATGAAATAATAACACTGAGGCTTTGTAGTTTGATCCATAAGGACAAACTCTTTATTGCTCCCACTATAGCAGCGCACTAGACTCCTTCTGTTCGTATCTTTCACAATAAAAGCCCCAGACATACACTCCATCATTTCTTAGTAAAAAGCATTCAGCTAAGAGGCTACTCGACAAATAGCTTACTGTAGAAACCCCCAGGTAGCAGAACAACTTGAGAAATGTTCACTGTGGAAACATTACCGGGCAATAGAGCAAATGGGAGGCAAAGAAGAGGAAGCCATTTAAAATATTACAGCACATTACATTCACTTGTTAGACGCTTTTATCCAAAGCGACTTACATACATTCAGTACTGTGGACAATCCCCACAGGAGCACTTTGGGGTGAAGTGTCTCAGGGACACAATGACATGCTGACTGCAGTGGGACTCGAACTTGCTATCCCCTGATTCCAAGTCCAGCACACTATCCCCTGAGCCACAGCCTCCCATATGTAACATGTGTGATCACAAATAAAGGCGATTTGCACAGCAAAACAAAACTGCGCTGACAACTTGAAAAGCAAGAAAATACAGTTCAAATGACTTTAAAAAAGGAGTTTAAAGCAATGAATAAATGCATGAATATTCAACTCTTTAATGAACGTAAAGTGCACATTACACTTCACATCCTCTAGGCTATACGTAACATAAAACAGTCATTCATTTGAAGTATAATGCTCTATTATGTACCATATTAGCTTCCCTCCTCCTCCTCCATCTGTTTTGAATATTTTCCACCATACAATAATATCTATAAATGTTTAAGTCTGTCATTGCTGAACTGTGCCTACATCTCTCCTCTGCCCATGCTGCTGTCATTCTCTGACCTCAGGCGTCTCAGGTCAGCTCTGGAGGTCAGGGCACTTTGAAGATCACAGTGATAGGTGTGTACTTTAGTGCCAGAAGGGGTTTATAGTACACAAAATGGGTACAAACATGTGGCGTGAGATTAGAAAAAAAGAAATCTGCTGGTGCAACTGTGTAGCTGGCCTGTGCCTAAATAAAGAGCTGGCTGTACTGTGAGACACATGCCGGTGTGTGTTTATGTGTAATCACAGCATACAGGGCAGCCACGGAAAACGAGGCAGAGTGAGCAGCACTTATTCAAAGCCACGCACCATCCAACTAACAGCCTTGGGACAGTGGATAAGGAGCTCATTCCACCGTCTCTGTTCAGGCATCATGCTTGACCTCACACATTTTTCACTCCTCTCCTTCTCTGTGAGCATTTTCCCTCGCCTATACTTGGGGGAAGTGTACTCATTTGTTTGTGTGTTATGTGTGTGTCTAATGATGCTGTAGGTCACGACAGAAGGTGGCATTTGTTATTAATGGTGACCCCAGCACAAGATGGGCCCTGCGGCCGAGCCCCGGGCAAGGAAAGAAAACTGAAAGGAAGGGGAAGAGACACACACCCGCGGTGACACCAATACACTCGACACCGGGGGAAAACACACATTACTGCCACAGTGGACCGTCACACAGAAATGTTTTGGAAGGAAGGAGCTTTTTAATTATACATGCAGATTTGAAGAGTCATTCAAAGTTCAGCCCCAAGAGAATGGGTCCATTTTTTTTGTCTCCGTGTTGGAAAACACACTAAACGTTTTCGAGGTAGCTCTTCTGTCACGATGAATGTTCTCTAAGGAGGCTACATCAACATTCCGTTTATGTGAGGAGCCACCCTGAGGAAACTGTCAGTGACATTATCGTAGGAGAATCTGTGTACTGTATGAGATGAATGAGATGAACACAGATGGGAGTATAAAGGGCAGGATAAGAGGCAGACGTGCTGTGTGTGTGTGTGTTCCTCAATAGAAGGAGTGTGGAGGCAGAGAGCAGATTTGGGTGATTGATGGTGGACGTCTGAATGGAGAGCTTCTCAGGCTCAGCACCTGTAAACTGGTGAGAACTGATGCAATAACCTTAACTGTAGACACCGGGCCATCAATAACATTCACACACAGCCTACACACACAGATGGGGACTGTGTGTGTGCTTGTGTGTGTGCTATGAGCATCATTAAAGAGTATGTGTTTGTGTTTCTTTACTTGTGAAAAACAATGTAGTGAAACGGAAGAAAAATCTCAGTGATCAGTCGTATATTATACGAGTGACACCAACCAGCAAAACAATGCAAATATGACAAATGTGAAGATATTTCTGGGGATACAATTGCCTGTTTGCACACAGCAGCAGACATGTTGAACCTGTGAAAGCAGGAGAAGCACACTGTTTCTTGATAGTTGATTGTCCCAGTTAGCAAAGGCAGTGAGCCAACATGCATAAGAGGCCTGAAACAAGCACCAAAATGTATGCTTTATTAATTACAGCTGTGCGTTTCCAGCCATAGCATGCCAGGAAAAGATCTATAATCCCAATAGAACATTTACGCCGAATATTCCTGAAACAACTGGTTTCAGATAGAAGGAGGATAAATACAGGCTTCCCATACAGCTGGAAAGTCAAGTGTCCCCAGCAGTTTATATTTTTTGAGCTAGCTAGCTTATTAAGGTGTAAGGTTGACTTGTAATACTTCAGCTGACTCGTTCCAACAACTGAACCTAAGAGAGGTTTGTTAGCTGGTTGACTGCATGCAAGATATTGTGTATAAAGACTAAGGCTAAAGCTACGTAGCCTATCTCTGGAGAAAAAAAAGTCAGCCTCGCCATACAGTATGAAAGCTGTTATTTTGTTGTGCCCCATTTGGCTTTGTAGCTATATGTGTTGTATTTTCAAACAACAGGTTCTAATTTCACATGAACAATATTATTTTTTTATACTATATATATGTATATGTAAGTCTGGGTGGGATTGCTAACTTTGCTCTTAACTTTAATAGTTTCCAGGCCCGCTTCCACACATTGTGGATTTGTATAGACTATTAGACTATGGAGTTATGGATTTGCCGTCAAAGAAAACATGATTACGAAGGTAGTTTCGTGGGAACTAAGCTGGTTGCCAGACATGCTAACGATTTCAGCACACATCAGAGCAGACAGACATTGTTTAATCAATTCATAAATGATAACTTTTGGTTTTGGAAAGGCTGCAAAAATACAATGTCCTCCCAAATATGTACATGCTGATTATTATTGTTATGAGAGCCACATTGCTTCAATGTGTAGGATCCTCTAAAGCCTGACACACCTGCTATGCACAGTTACGGTTGCTAAACTGTGATTGGGTAATCTCTGATTGAGGGCGAGGTTTAGCGGATAGTCAGTTGTGATGCCAAGATCCATTTCCTTTCAACCACGCTGAGTTGAGTAAGTGATGATCCTATCACAGAGGAACTGCCGACTCTAAATGCCAAAGCTATGTTATTTATTTATCCTGTCCTTGAAGCTCCAGGAGACTAAAGACCACGGCAGACCACCAACCTAACCCCACTTTCCATTTATATACCCTTCTTTCCCCTTCTGCCTCCCTCCTTTGTTCATCTGATTGAAACATGCAACCCTCTGAAGTGTATATTTTAAATGTGCATAACATGTTGTTGCCATTCAACATTGAAGGTCATTACACAGTTTATAAGAGGCTTGATATGTGTGCAAAAAGACAATTCACTGACGGTTTAAAATGTCTATTTGTGTCTAATGCTTGCATGCAGTATGATTTTATTATTTTATGAGGTTGCAGCATTTCAACTAGAATTGCGTTACGCATTGCATACAATTACATAATCCACTCTGATGGCAAAACAGAAACAAGCTTTTTACCTCTTTGAGGATGCCAGTGAGCCTCTCGGTTTCACAATCGATGATAATCTGGCCCTCCTTCCTCTTGTCCAAATCCTGGAAAACTTTCAAAAAGGAGGCCTCTGTCATGGTCTCCACATTGACCGAGGTCACAAGCCAGTTCCTCTCCGCTGCTGTGTCCAGAACCTTCTGCAGCACAGACAGTCCTATAAGAAGAGGAGAGAACGCTGAATCGTGAGTGCTTTATTAGCAAAGGTTCTGCAAATAACGGCCAAGATGAATAAAGTGATGAATGACTAGTTTGTATTCCACCGAGAGGGATCCATAAGTATCAATTATGTGCAGGTTAATCTCATACAGTGTGCAGATTGTATTATGAGTTGAATGATGAATTAAAAAAATGTTGGAGTAAAACAGAAGTTGTGAAGAACTGCTTAATAAGCGTATCCATCAGAACCTCCCCTGTAGCCTCGGTGATAAAGTATAACGAGCGGGACAGTCCATTAAGCACGCTGACACGTACAGGTGGGATTTTCCAGTTCTTACAATTAATAATCACCTTTTTCACACTAACCAATAATCAGCCCGTGCATCATTGCAGAAAACACACTCACAGCCATCTTCACATCCTTCAAGCACCAATTACAGGTGGTGTTACTCAGTAATGTCATTGCGGAGACACTCTAGCATCATAGAGGCTGGTGTAGAGCAGCCAATGAGCTATAGGCTTATGTTAAGACAGCAAATAAAAGGCGATTAGGGAACACATTGATCTTGAGCTCTGATTTACAATCTGAGTCAGTGTTGTACTCCTTTGCTGCTGGCGGTGGACCAATCAGATTCCTCTCAAGCTGGCAGCTAAGTGTTTCCACAGAGTAAATAAAGTAATGCCACCCGCAGCAGACTGGCACACGTTACCCAAATGAATTGCAGCAATTACAAAAACTAACACATGATGTAGCTGTATTTGTTTTTCCACCACTAATCTGGCAAATGCTGTAAAAGCCATCGTGGGCCTACACAAAATGTGTTTTGTGCATCCTCCATGTTTGTTTGTTCATGTTCATACAGGCGTTTTATGCACATTGAGTAAATGTAAATATGGCTTATCCACAGTGACACAGAGCCTGTCAAAAGAAGAATGAGACAGGCAGTCAGCCCCTGAAAGATGATTGCCTGGCCTTATTACTGTAAAATGCACACCAGCTGCTCTCCAGGCAATTTGCGCTGCCTATTTGACACCAGGTCATTAAGAGATATAAAAAATGGGAGTTGTTTCACCTCCACATATGACAGCTATACGGTACATGTACATACATTAGACAACCATAACGAATGATGTATACAAATGGGAATTGAGACGAATAGCCCCTTTCATGGTGTCTCTATCCAATCACTGTTGCATGGGGCGGTGGTGGCGAAGTCGATAGGGACTTAGCTTGGCAACTGGAAGGTCACCAGTTCAAGTCCCGGCAAGACCAAGTGCTACCGAGGTGTCCCTGAGCAAGACACCGTTCCCTACACCGTTCAAAATGGCTGCACACTGCTCCTAACACAGGATGGGTCAAATGCAGAGAAACAATTTCCCCACAGGGATTAATAAAGTATATCAAAAAAAAAAAATCATACGAGAGAATAAGTGTAGACCTTGGAGCTGATTGTGTCCTGAGGAGAATAGACAACTGTCTTCAAATGGAGCGTGAGTATAGGCTTCAGGACCATGGACAGCACCTTGCTCTAAAATCTGAGCCAACAGTTTGGAAAGAAAACTATTTGCCACTGAAGCAATTCACTTCCTTATCTCTTCTCACTTTTGTAATTATCTTGCGTCTCCTGAAGTCTTTGTGTGGGTATTTATTTGTTAATCTGCATTATGTACATAATGTTCCGGCCTGTGAGCAAGACAATCTAAAATTAATTCTTGAATCTCATTAATGCTTCCAGCTAAAAATGTTCAGCACAATGTTATCAGTGTGGCTGGACTATTACATTTCTTATCTTTGCTTATCTTGCATCTATTCTCCATGCCTTGCTTGCATTCTTCACAGTTTCATTCTCACTGTGTTTGCATTGAATATCCTCTTTTCCAATGTACCTATCTGCAGATGCCCTCCTATAAATCAGAGCCAACCTGACAGTGTGGCTCGTGAGACTGACCCGGGTAAAAATGGTCCTCTGAAGGAATCCTGGAAGGAAATGATATAATGGAATCTGCCTGTCATAAGCACCCTTTCTGGCCGGAGGCAATACACAGAGACCTGGGCACGAGGCAAATGAAAGTAGATAACATAACACTTTCAGGAAAACATTTCCTGAATATTGTTTATGGTATGTTTAATGGGCTATCAAATTTGTTTTCCTGTCCTTGGCTTTTGAAAATAAAAACGAGGAGAACTTTTATTAGCGGATGCTGAGCGGTAAGATAGCAGGACAGATGTTAAAAGATAAGAAGTGGGGAAATATGAAACATTATCAAGTATTAGGAAAGTGACCCTGCATATGGCATATTTATAAAACATATCTAATAAAACTGTATTAGACCAGATACTAGAAAGGGCTGGACATTTGATACTAAAATAGTTAGAAAATATTTGGAAGAAGCAGAAACAAACATACTGTATACAACAGACAAACATGATTTTTCTTAACGGCTTAAAATAACCCGACTGACTGGTGACTACATCGTAGTATCCAGGCAACAGAAGACTACTGATAAGGATTCCACTGGCTCCATCCCACCACTCAATCACACAGGGGTGACCCTACACACACACACACACACACACACACACACACACACACACACACACACACACACACACACACACACACACACACACACACACACACACACACACACACACACACACACACACACACACACACACACACACACACACACACACACACACACACACACACACACACAGTAAGTGAGTGGGTAATGAAGGGATCACAGAAGAGAAAATAAATCGGCGGGACATGTGTTACGCTCCGGCCGTCATGAATCAATAGGACGAGACCGCTGTGAAATCTCCCCTGTCACTGCTTGATCTCTGCAGAGTGACATGGTGGATTCTGTCTTTTAAAGCTGACTTAAGCCTGCTTATGTCTCCCAAGTCAAAATCGTGGGAGTGGATCAAAGTTGTGCAAAGTGTTCAGACAGCAGAATGCTTTAGGGTGCACAAAACACCTTCCACAGTCATGCTCTGAAACCCACAACACCTGGGACAGATGGCAAGGCATTATGGGAAGGGTATGGCTGATTGGCTCGAGAGGGGAAGGCGAGGACGAGGCTGACATGTGTGCTGGTTTATTTCTGCGAAAGATTGTACGCTACAGCACTTTTTTTTGTGACCGTAGCAACAGAGCCGAGGACTTGTCGACGAGGAGCTCAGTCTTTTGTTCCATTGTGTGATTGATCTGCCAGTCAGTGCGGGTCAATGTTTCTTTTCTGTGTTCTCCGCCTGCACAGAGATGGTGGTCTGAATTACATGTTCTGATGGTGGCGGCTCATTGCTGCACAATGGCTACGATTGACCCCATTGCTGTCGCCATGGCAATATGAAGACGGCTAATGGTGGATGGTATAATGACCGGTTTCGCCTGTGACCGTGTTCTTGTGCGTGTGCTTGGAATTACTTTCAAAGAACGAAATGCCGGAAGGAAAACTGTCGATATTCAGACATGATTGAAGATCATCATACAATTGAAAACCTTCATATGAAATATTTGACGGTACAAGTTGCCCACATCAGGGTCATTTCCTTTTCATATTGTTAGGAGAAGCTTAAAGGATATTTTAATCAAACATAAAGGATTAAAGTCATCTCATGTGGTCGTGCCCTAAAATTGTATATTTCTGGGAGTCAGTACAAACTAAGATCAGAAAAGTGGCATAGATATACCTTTTAACTTATATAAATGTGTCCTCGGATCAGATTTCAATTACGAACGTAGACATAGGCATATTATTGGTATTGCTCTGTATGCAGCACGACTCACAATCCTCCAGAAATGGTTGGATGAAGATCCGCCTAATCTTTTGTTATGGTTTCAAAAACTGATGTCAATCTTGCCATTGGAGCGGCTGTCACACATGCTGCGAGGAACTCTGGATGAGTTTGTTAGAAACTGGTCCCCAATTGCACCGTACATGAAGGAAGAATGGTCAAGTGTTATAATTGTGGGAGTAAATATAACATGATAAGTGCTCACACATGAGTACTAGGTTGCTACTGTTGCTGTTTGCCTGTTTTTGTCATTGATGGTCGTTATTGTTTTGTGGGTTTTATTATGTGTTGTCCCTAATGTTTTTTGTATTGTCTCACCTGAAAATCCCAAAAATATATATTGAAAAAAACCAACAACAACATAAAGGTTTCCATTCAAATGTCTCGTTTAAAATTACAGTATGATGTGATGTGAAATAAAATGATTTCCTACCTGAGTCTGAACTGTACATGTAGACAAACTTGTTCCACCCGTAGTGGTCGATCACTCCCACCAGAGCGTCCTGGAGCTCGGGCCTCAGCTGGATGACAAACTGGTTGGCCGTCTCGATGGGGAACGACGGCGTGACGAAGCAGACGTGCAGTGCTCCGCAGAAGGACATGAGCATGTTGACCGTCTTCCTGTCATACAGGCCGATGATGGCGTACACACCTTTGGAGAACTGGGAGCAAACTGCCGGAGAAAAGAAAATACAGGGGGAAGTTAGTCTCTGGAGAGGACTATGAAATATAAGTATCAACTCCTGTTCAACACAATTGAATGAATACCACCTTATCAACAATTGCTACTGTACTTTAGTACAACACAAATGTTATAAGAATCTAAGTGTTCATACAGAGCTTCATACAGCTGATTTAAATAATATATATTCTATGTTGGCTTTTAATGATTATACTTATAACTAAAAGGGGACTTTCAGGGTGCTAACCTCTGCCAAGTCAATGCTCTATTGTTGAAAGTGAAGAATAATCAGTGCAGTTGACCCATGTTTTGGATCCGCTCCAAAATGTAAGAGGTGGTGCTTCATGAAGCCAAGTTTCATGAAATTCAGGCCATTCTTTTTTTATTTTTCAGAAAGCTGCTGACAAACAGACAGACACATAAACCAATCTGAAATGATTGCCTCTTGTGGGAGAGACAAAAGCACATTGGATTAAAGGTAGGGTAGGTAAGAATGGAGAAACCAGCTCAAGTCAACTAGAATTTGAAAGTACACAGCCGAAAATAATCTGCCCCTTCCTTCAGACTTCCTTACAGAGCCCCTCCTCCAACACACACGAACGCGGCAGATAATTGGACTTTCTTTTTACAGCACCACGGCTTCCACAGATGAAATGTTTGTATATATTTATTGTCAAAGCATTTAATGTATTCATTGCTATCGGGATGTTAAGAGCATTCCATGGAATATAACAAAAAGTGTTTCTGAAGCGAATTCCCTACCCTACCTTTAAGGCTGTATTGATTCGTCTAATAATCTGTAAAATGGTCGATTCCGGCGTTTTCCGAGTTGAAGATGTTCTGCTTTTTATGGTATTGAATTACAATCAGTGCAAACATTTTTAAGTTTGAGACTTTTGATCAAACATGAAAGTCATCCCCTTCGCCTCTTGTAAATATGTTTTTACTTTTTTTAATCGTTTTCAGACCAAACGACTCTTCAATCGTTTTCATCGTGCTTTTGTTTCATTGTCTTCTATCCTAAATCTAAGAGAATAAGCTGTCTCTGATGTTAAAAGGAAAAATACATCTAACAAAGGGAGACTAAAATGAGGAACTGTCATTGGTCAGACTTTGTTAACTCTTTCAATTAAAACATGAGTCATCCCAAAGTGCTTTTGAATTTTCAGTTCAAAAATAGCTTTGGCAGCCTTGCCTCTTTTAAACCAGTCCTTGGCCTGTTTATGCCGATCTGGCCCTATTGTCCATCTGTAGAGCACCAGTCTGTGTGTTTGCCTTCAGTGATTGGAGCAGAGGCTGCAGGCAGATTAGGAGTAGAGAGGTTAATCAATGCATCCCCAGGGTTCCATTGACATTCCACTGGCAGCAGGAGGAGGTTTGCATCTCTCATTTGCTTTTCTTCCCATTTCCCTTTGTCTCATTGTCTGTTTGTCACTCTGCCTTCCTTCCCACCCCCAAATATCTTAAAATAGCTAATTTATGTACACAGTTTTCTCTTCAGAAGGTATGCCCTCTCCACACTTTCTAAAGCGCAGGCTATCTTTGCCCTTGCAGGTCTGGCGTGAGTTATTTTCTGCCACGGCAATGGGTGGGCCTTACTTATCTCAGTATTTACCGAACAGATTGAAGCTGCTGCCTGTCCCTGCGCGAGGGCCAGCTCACTGCTAAGAGCCGAGGGGAAGACAGAGAGAAGGATGGCCCTCACCCAAAACGCCTAACCCGTCACAGACCTGCACCCGGCGGGCAGGCACATGTGTGTGTCTGTTTGCGTGTGTGTGACGGAGATAGAGGGGGAGCGGTATCACATACATGTGCATACAAATACACACACACACACACACACACACACACACACACACACACACACCACACACACACACACACACACACACACACGCACACACGCACACACGCAGTCTCTCGTGCTCCAAAAGCCTGGTGACTCACCCTACTTAAAGCAAGCCCTGAAAATAGACATTTTCGAGCCTTGCCACACTGACTCAGTAACAGAACTATCTTTCCTTCATGGTCTGCACACGCTGTTGCTATTAAATCGACACTCTCAGCTATTGCTTTCCACTAGCACACGGTTTTTTTTTTCTGGGCGCTGGCCTCCATGTTCTGCCTGGATGAAAGGTAATGAGAGCTTGTTTGACTTTTTGTGCAGTGTCCCATTACTCTGCCTTGCAGCAGGTTACCATGTCTCACTGAACCTGAGTCATTTCTCATACCTACAGTATGTGTATCCGACGAAAAAAGCAAAAAAAGAAACATGCAGCCATGTGGCACGGACCTCCTGCTCCGAGCTGGCAAGAGAACCATGTGCACGTCTAATTCGACAAGAGCATGACACAGAATATTAGTGTAACTCAGTGGTCTCAGGTCTAGTTCTGATGGCAGTGCAGAGGAGGAGTGTGTTGGTGTGCGAGGGGCTTGTTAGCGCTGCTCCACATGTGTAACGACGTAGGAGGATGGCCTAGGAGACCCTTGGTGATCCCGAAGACCCCGGTAACACCTGTCCACCCTGGCACTCCGCGTCCCCTTTGCCACAGTTACTGCTGCCATGGCGGCAGAACTGAGGTTGCCTGGGCAACGGTCTGTTTCCCTGGCAGGGATAACAGTAGCTCAGAGCTGCTAAAGGACTTTTGGAAGATGAAGTGGGAAATGTGAGTGTTTGGACATTTTGTCATAATTAGGTTGCCCCTCGAGGATTTAGCAAATTTGAAAATTGACATTGCTTTGCAAAATCCTCAGATAACTTCTTAAATAATGGGAGATTTGGGGCACAGTTCCACGCCGTGGACATTTGAATTTGAACTCAAAACAAACATCATTATTTCCAACAGTCAACAAAACTCTTTAGCATACAGATGATGAAAGAAGTGTCTTTTAAACTTCACCTATTGTGCAAAATCCACTTTTTCATGTATTGTATACATAAACATGTGTCCCGTCTGTGTAAAGAGATTCTGAAAGTTTCAGGCAAAAATATTCACTTTTTTGTCCTGATCCATTTAAATAAAAACGATGAGTTGATCAGATTTTGGCCACTTTATGATGTCATAACGATTTATTTGGCTAGTGTAACCATTAGCCAATCACCAACCAAGGTAACCCCCCCCCCCCCCCCCGCACCTTATCACCAGAATCTCCTCCTAGAGCACCATTGTATTCTTTTTAACCAAATATCTCTCAGAGGGGCGTGGGGAGTGGCTCCGTATTTTCATCTAAAGTAACAGACAGAGAATCAGCACTTTTGTATAATAGGGGACCTTTAAACATTACATTTTCACCCTGTTTAAACTTCTCCTATGAGTTGATTTGAGCATTTTAACTGGTCAAATAGTTTTGGACCACAGAGAAAAAGCCCAAATCCTAAAGGGACACTTACTCGCACAACAGGAGGAGCTGTCAGAAACAACTCACGCGGCTACTGTTTTCCCTGTTCGCTGTTTCCTGCGCCCCGCAGCTGTTCCTCTGCTTAGCATGAGCCAAATATCGAATGACAGACGTGTCTGTGCCGGCTGCACAAAGAGGGCGTGTTAGTGACAGTTGTTCCTGCATCTGAAGTTGTGGATGGAGGGAAGGGGGGATGCCAAAGGGAGGGCGGGGGGAGGGGGGGCAAAGCTAATGCTGCATCCTTCATTCTCTATCTAGGCAAAACCTCACATGATACCACTGAACCATTACTGGCTCACTCTTTAAGGGACTTTGATTTTATGACAGCATTCATAATGAATCTGTAAAAAATATATTTGTTGTTTTTAACAATGATGGAATCTAAAAACGTTTAAACAAGCACAAACAGATGTCTTGAGTTGTTGACAGTGCAATTATCCTGATTTAAAATTGGAATGGGCACCTTAACTATGTAAAACCAGGTTTAATTTTGAATGGAAAAATGATCAGTAAAATGTTTCAAGGTGCCCTTGTGTGCATGGTACTGTACCTGCCTCCCAGCTGCTCCACCAGAGCTACACACACTAACCTGTGTCTGTGGTATTAGAGCAGCTCCTTTGGGTGGGTGTGTGTGATTATTTTTAAATAGCTCTGCATTGCTTTCTATGTCAAAAAAAAAATCAATACTGTCGAATTAAAATGTACCGGGTGGACGCAAAACAATTTCTCAAATGTATTTTTGGGGGAAGCAACAACCAGTTCTGTGAGAATCAATATGAGGAAAGCATGTTGGCTCAGTAAGCACATGTGACCCGGACTCATGGGTTTACTGTGACCGCATGAAAACCACCAATTCCAATAAGGATGTGATATACATCATACGCCTCCACAAACACACACAGAAGCAACACAAGGCTTCTACTATGTTCTTCCCATAGGAATTGCATGCTATTATCCTGTGCAACATTAAGGTCAGTGGTACAGAAGGAATTTCACAGCAGCAGGAAGATGGGTTCAGCTGGAGAGAATGCACTGATTGGAGGGCTCATGTTCAACCATGTAGGCAAGGCAATTTATTTGTATAGCACAATTCATACAGTGATGCAATTCAAAGTGCTTTACAGCAGCGGTTCTCAAACTGTGGTCCGCGCAGGTGGTCCGTGGAAAAAAGGATTTTCGGGGACCACCTCATATGTGACTTGCTCTATCGAAATCAGTCGCATTGACCCGAAGATAGATTTTGAGTTGTATACACTGTTGGAAAGAGGATATTCCTAGCTTTCTAATGATATCAACATTGTTTTTGTACTCCAAATATTAAGCAAAAAATGCAGACTATTTTAGAACATTAAGAAAAAAATGTTTAAGTAACCTTTCATCATTCATCAATAATTAACATTAATAGAATGTTATATTGATAATGTACACTAAACGTATGATTTATTTAACTTATTTTCTTCCAAAAGTTAATTATCCAAAGCCTCTGTACACCCTTCTATTTACATGTAATGGTTTGGTCCCGCCTCTGCCTCCAAACGGCACTTTCTAGCAGAGAGTGAGAGCATGTGAGGAGGGATACTATTACTTACGTG